CGTACCAGCAAACTGGGTTGAAAAGAACAGTGCATCATTTCAGAAGTCTCAGAAAAGCAAATTAGATGATGCTTTTTAAAAAGACATTAAGATACTGGCCTGTCTTTTGCCCCTAAAGCAACCACTGTAACTCATTATTGCTTGGCTTGCAGACACTGATATTGTAACATAGCAATGAAACAAATGATAACTGTTGTGTTTAAAAGCACCACAGGAATGTGTAGCTTTTATGGTACCGGATTTTGGTGAGGTGTCCTTCTTACAACTCAAGATAGATGAGCTTCAGAGTGAAAATGTTGACACTCTCTGATCAGTTTTATCTGCATTTTCTTGGCCTTAATAAATTGACTGATTAAATCAGAACAGTGTAACCATATTATGTTGAGGAAAGAAATGGAACCTAAAGAGAAAGTTCATTTAAGTTAGAAGGGTTAAAAAAGAGATTGTTGGATGAAATGAACTCTCAAACCCAGGAGGATTTCATGAAGCTCTGATATTCTAGGAATATCATTTCTAAACTATTCCCTTTTGATTTTAATGAATATTTATATTTCAAGGCACTTAGAAAAGTATATTTTAGCCAATATTTTAAATAGCTTCATTTCCAAAAATATTAACCTAAATACCCCTAAATAGTGAATATTGAATTGATCTAACCAAAATGAGTCATAGCCTTAATTTGAGGTTTTCACGTTTTTAATGCTAAGTTACATTCTCTGTGTCATATTAACACAATATTGGTAGGAGCTGATATGAAAATGAGGTTATAATGTAAGACTAGGCAACTATCTAAAGCATATTCTGACTAATACTGATTATTGGTTTTGAAAAGAGTACATTAATAATTATATGTTTGATTTCTGCCGTCTTGTATTTTCTCATTTTAAATTTGAAGATAATATTTATTTATTTATTTTAAAAATCAATATACCAGATGTCTGTCATATAAGGTTTTTCCGTTGCTTTTCCTGGAATTTTGATAAATACTGTAGCACAAGATCAGTATTTAGCACATCAGATGCTGAATTGAACCAAGCAAGCCACGTTGTCTAAGCCCACATTATATCAAGATGCTTGATATATTATAGTGATATGTTGCATGACGAAATAGGGTAAATGTATACTGATGTCCACAATGTGTAGGAAATCTAATGCAGGAAAACTTCTACCCTACAAAATTGGAGGTTATGGATGTTTAAATCCAGTTTTAGTGATGCTTAAAACAGTTCCCGCCCCGGCCCGGCCCCTTTGCCTTTCATTGTAGATCTTTGTTTTGTCATCTGGGTATCGCTGCCCACAACAGAGCATATTGACAGTTGGCTTTTTCAACACTTACCTCATTCTACTGGTGATGGAGGAGCAGACAAGCTCTTCCCAAGTTGTCTTACTACCTGTATCCTCTTGGCAGCTGTTTGTGAAAATGCAGAGCCCTACGGCGCATGTATTGAGAGACAGTCTCATTTGTGCAGCACCATGCCTTGTAACTCAAGTGCACTGCTATATTTAGAGCTTTCCTTCACTGACAGATCAACAGGCTGTTGTTACACTCAAATCTGTTTTGAAGGACACTTGGCTTAAAGCCAGTGCTGCTACTCTCCTCCTCCTTTCTCTCTCTTAAACGCTCCTCGACATCACAGGTGGAAAACATGAGATGCTACAGAAGTCATCAAAGACCGTTTAGCACAATATGCCTGACCTTTTTAGGCTTACATTAAATCCTTCTTATTTTTCTCATCAAATCTTTCAGTCCTTTACTCCTTCAGAAAATAAACCCCAGTGACTTTTAAAAGTTTAATTTCACTTTAAAAAAACCCAGCTTCAGGTGGTTTTCTAGGAATTTATTCCATCAACCTGGAATTTGACCTTTTCCCCCTATTTTTTTAAAGGTTCGTTCTAAAGATAATGAGATGCAAAGCATATCTTTAAAAATGGCAATGTGCGTATAGCAACTGTTGTTGAGGCCTAGAAGCCTTTCATTTATTGTGACACATGGAGTTACCCATGTTATTGCACATGGATAAGGCAACTTCAAGCCATCAATTTTTGTATAAATAATTAGGATTTATTTAATCAATTAATTTGTTTTGTTTGGCCAAGGGTGGGCAAGCTTCTGTTTATTTACTAGAATCTTAAGATCAACCAGACAGAGAGCCATGTGTAAGATGGAAGCAAAAGAGGACTTACAAATGCTGAGAATTAAGGACATTTTCAAAGTTTGTTTTCAAGATAGTGCTGATTTCAGTCCTTATAAACCCACTCCTGGTTCACTGTCAGTCTTTCTTTGTTTCAGAAACTTGACTTGGAGAGGAAGAAGCCTTTTGCTTTTGTTAATGCACTGGGAGACAAAAACTGGTCTACTAAAAAAATCTATTAAACTTTGATGCCTGCCAACCCTTGAATTGGTCATGAATTGCAAGAAAGATATCCTGGTGTATTGTGGAGCCTGAGAGCCAAACTATATGTTAGAGAGAATCTGTTATTAGAATTTAAATCACAGAATCATGACTAGCACTCAAGAGGTGTGACTGAGGCAGTATTTTGTGTCTGAGAAATCAGATTTTTAAGGAGAAAACATGCTTCTGGCCTGAATATCAATCAAGCTAATTTGCCAATTATAATAAGTGGGGAAAGTTCCTGTGGTGACAATCACTCACAATCAGCCTTTAAAGAATGCCCTCATTCACTGACAGGTTATCTTTAACACAGGATTGGGCCCTGAGGCAGGCAGATGAAATTTTCAGGGAGTAGCATAAGTTGTATAATGGTATACATTAACAATCTTAAGTATAATTACCTGGAAGTAAGCCTTATTCAATCTATTTAACTCTGATAAAACTTGCATAATATTAGACAATAGCCTGCATTCAACTCTGTATTGTTGAGCAGAGTTCTTCCATATTTACATTTATACTTCTGTACTTTGATTTATTTTCAGTTCTCCGCATACTGCTATAAACCAATATTCTTACTTGACTTCCTGTTTACCACTTTAAGTTTGGAATAAATGTTAAGATTAGGAATATATTTGTGTGGGTGGGTGTGAAAAGGTGGAGTATAAATAAATAAATTAATTAATACTGGAAAGCAGGAAAGAGAGGAGAACTTAGGCTCCAGAAGCATCCCTTTTAGGAAGGCTTGTATAGATAAGCAAAAGATGTCAGCCTTGGCAGCCTGCCTCTAGCAGTCCCTACTAGAGATGGAGACAAATTTTAAAAAATGGCGATTTGTTTTGATCCGTTATTCATAAAGGTTAACAGATCAACGAATACAAATATATGAATATTCTTTGACAAATTGACAAATTGATCTGTTGATTCATCTGCACTTTAAATGGCTATAACACTGGCTCCCGATGATCTAGAAACACCTAATTTGCAGGGAAGCTTCCCCAGATGCTTTTTCTACAACTCCTGAAAGTTAGGTGAACATTGCATCATGGACCCCTGAGTTATATAGTCACAAAGAGGACCCACCAGGAAAGCTCCCCCCAGGTACTTAGAGACTCCAGAATCACAACGGAGCTTCCTATGTCTTTCCCCAACACGCCTACCAACTTCAGTGAAGATTGGATATCAGACATCCTAGTTATTCACCCACAAATTGGGTCACACCATGAGAGTTTGCCACATGGCACAGAAGTCCATTCTGCCTACTGGCCACCAATCAGCTGATCAGAACCTGATAGGCAGCCATACACCCCCTACAGCCAGCAACCCCAACAGCCTACCCTCACACCGCCTTCCTTTCCCTACCTTAGCCCCCACCCCACTCCCACCGACACCCCTTACCTTAATAGCTGCTGCCAGCTCTCCATCAGGCCTTCGCAGCCACAGTGTTTAAAAAGGGAGACGGGCTGCTCTCTGCAAAGATGGTGGCTGTGGCTTCATTTAGGGTAGGGAAGCGGCAGCTGCTGTCTTTGCAAAGGGCAGCCTGGATTCCCTTAAGGCAGGGAGCCCCTCCAGGGCTGCAGTGGTTAACATAACCTTGTTGTCTAAGAATGTGGCAGGAGTCTCTAGTATCTGACTCTTGTAGCAAGCAACTTTGTAAATGTTAGTGAGCAGAAGAGAATATCCTGTAGACCACCTTGACAGCTGCCACTGGTGTTATCAATGGTCAGGCTGCCCTTTGGTATATAAAACTTGGCATCCTTTTTCCTGCTGGCAACATAGGTACTATATTGTGTCGAAATTTTGGGCCATTTCCTGGAATTTTGAATCATGGATACTGAAGTAGAATAACTCACATTCATTAACCAGACGGTTTTCTGGTTTTTAAAAAAATTAAATACAATATAAAGTAGTCACTTAGGGCTGAACAGTTTTTCAACTGCATAGTAGAAACTGCGATATTGAGGTACCAGTAGAATGAATTTGATTTAGTAAACTTTTGTTATGTTCCTTTAAAAACTAACTTCTCTGTCCTCCAATATAGATTGTACTTTTATTTATGGAATCAATATGTAAAATGACTATTCATTCATTCATTCATTCATTCATTCATTCATTCATTCATTCATTGGATTTCTATCCTGCCCATCTAGACCAAAGGTTTAGAAGTTTGAAAACAATAAAACCAAAAAACATATATTATAGATCCAAGATGGCAAAAGTATAAGAAATTACGATACGGCAGAAGGGAAAGCCTGCCCAAATAGCCAGGTTTTAAGTTTGTTCCTGAAAACACCCAGAGAGACGGCCAGGCAGATCTCCACTGGCAAGTTGCTCCAAAGACGAGGGGCCACTGCCAAGAAAGCCCTGTTCCTCGTTCTTTCCTTCTGGACCCTCAGTGTTAGGCCCCTCAGCTGCCCAGCCTGGCTGGAATGAGTGACTCTGGCAGAACTGGGTGGAAGAAGGGGCTCTGCCAGATATCAAAGTTGTTAGCTCTTAAGAAAGCAGCTCAGTCGTATTTGCCAGTGCTTCTCAGAACTTGCTAAGCTATTTCACGCTTTGTAATTTATTATTTGTATCCCACGTTTTAAAATATGCTGTTTTCTGATGCAGTTGGAAAGCCTAATACGACAGCTACTGAACCAAAAAGTAAGTAGAATGTATGTTTCTTTCTTTCTTCCCCCCCCCAGACGTTGATGAGTGATGCCTAATTTTCACTGAAGACCTGTTCACATAACTAGTCTTACCAAAGTACAGTATTAAAATGAACTCTTCTAGATGTGTTAAAAGAACAAGGGTACCCTCTACCTCCAATACAGAGTTTGGAACATAAATTCTTTAAAAGTAACTGATTCTGTTATTCATTACTTCTCAAGTGGCAATTTGTCAGTGTTCTTATGCTCAGTCAGATCTTGCAAGTAATTTGTTAGATTATATATTTTTAACACCCGTATATATGTATTGACTTTCACTAGCAGATCATGACAATAATTAGAAATATTAGTTGATTCTCTCTGATGGCTAATTCTGATACATAACTATACAAATATTTTAAAAATATGAAAGACAAAACCATAGCCTTACTTCCCTTGCGATCTAGAATAGATAAGAGAATGGTGTTAAAACTGAAACACTGTGGACAAAATGATTCAAAAATGCCTTTAAATGCTTTTTAAAGTAACTTGACCGTAACTAGAAAACACTATTTGTTAAACTGAAAGGTAACTTGGTTGCTACTCATTATATCACTTTTACCATAACTTTGCAACTACTTGGCACATTACTTGTTACCATAAGAGTAACTGCATTACTTGTAACTAGCTACTTCCAACCTGTGACCCAACCTAGTATGCACTGACTAGCTGCACTCCCCTGGCATCTCCATGTACAGCACCAGGACTTGCAGGGAGATGTGCAGAGTTCCAGATAGCCTTGATGTCTCACATACAGCTATGTGGCCAAAGGCTCTCTTCATGCAAGAAAAAATAAATAAACAGTATTCATGCAAACGCTAGGGATGAGATGAACCATTTCATGCTGTACTGGGGGTGGATGTAGTTGGTGTAGCCCAAATCTCCCCTCAGTGGTTGATGCAAGATATAAGACATTTTTCTAAACACAGGCACACATGTGCATATATACAGATTTTTGTGTGGACAAAGCAGGAGTTCAGCAGCTGGAAGCTACATACCTTCAGTTCAACCTATGACCCAAACCCTGTGGTCTAGGTCCCATGCATGTGTTTTTTAAAACAAGATTCCTAGTGGCACACAAACCTATGAAGGTAGGGTCTGTCTACATCATTAAACAAGGCTCAGAAAAGTTACTGTTCGGACTATAGCTTGTAGTCCAGGAAGAAAAAGTTTTCAAGTTTTGTGACAAACTGTATGTGATGAGGTAAAGGATTGTTCCCACAATCTCATTTTCTATACAGTCCCATACCATGAGAGCCCTCAGAGTGGGTAAGCCAACCTTGCTTCAACTTGTAAATATGAGCTGTATCTATTCACATTGCCAGTGAGAGTCCACATGATTGAATATGCTTCAATGTGACAAAGTTCTTCTACAAGAAAATAGGACAGCCAGGAAAAAGCCTAGACTTCATCTTGCCATCCAATTTTCTATGTACAGGGATGGTATACCGAGAGAGAGAGAGAAAAGAGAGAGAGAGCATTCAATCATTTTAGTTGCTCTCTGCAACCTGAAGATGTGTAGCTGAGACATAGGGTACTAGTGCTGAAATAAGAGCTAATAGACGTAATTCATAAAGTTTCTTCCAGAAAAACAGCAAAGCAAAACCTCTTCCATTTTGGAAAGATGTGGCATTGCTCTTCAGGTATTTGTTCAACATGATATGCAACCATTTCAGCCGGCTTCAACAACTAATTAAATGTTTGAGGAACAGCACCTCAGGCAAAACTTTCCATGTACTCCAGTGGACACATAGCATTCTCATGTGGAAAAGCTGCCCTATAACTCCTGTAGACTTCAGAGGGAGCTGGATAGATGTAAGAATGTAAAGAGATGCACAGATACATACAGCCTGCAAAAGGTCAATGCACTCTACCCAGCCACAAGGACCAGAAATCACTGCACACAAAAGACCAGCTAACGACACCCATCAATCACAGTGACAGATCATCTCTCCCTCTTATCACAACAATACACATACAACAAAAACATGCTGATCACCATAATCACCCAATCTCCTGAAAAGGACAAAAGCTGATCCCACAGCTATAAAAACTATCCAACAAACTGCAACAGAGCACAGAGTTCTGATTCTGTCCTCTGAAGATGCTGCCCACCGAGACTGGCGAAACATTAGGAAGAAAAACCTTCAGGATACATTTAACAAAACAGCCCGGAAAACCCACAGCCGTGAAAGCCTTCGAGATCCCAGCCGTGAAAGCTTTTGAGGATACATTTAACAAAAGATCTTCAGACGGTTGAGGTGCAATTTTAGCTTTTGACTGAAAATGCAAACCATCTCAAAAGTACAGGTGAGAGTAATTTAGTGAGCACAAACACACACACACACACAAAAATAGAAAGAAGCATGCAGCACTTGCTCGATTGTTATAATCATTTGCTGACCTTTCTGGGCAATCTGTCACCATAAAAAGAGTGGCGTAACTTGAAAGCCTTATCATCACCCCATTAATTTGCTAGAGCAGTGCTTCCCAACCTTGGGTAACCCAGATTTTCTTGAACTGCAGCTCCCAGAAGCCTTCACCACTAGCTGTGCTGGCTGAAGTTTCTGAGAGTTGCAGTCCAAGAACCAACCCCCACCACCACCACCTCCGCCGGTTACTCAAGGTTGGGAACCACAGTACTAGAGGATGGTGGCTCTGTTGATCACAATGGTGCTGCAAAGATGTTTCCATAACTCTTGGGGAGAATTTACTCCTCTGTAATTCCCCAACCCCACCATGCTGTGGCATGAATCATTTGTCTGCCCTCATTGGAATGAATAGGGCAGTATCTCACAGAGGTAAAACCCAGACATATCTTATAAACTTCATCATCCCATCTACATCTACATTTTGTTTTATTTCCTCTATTATTTATTCTGTAAAGTATGGGAACTGAACCTCAAAAGAAGGTTTTTGTCAGTTTGACAATGCATAGTAAAATAATTGCCTTTTAAATTCATTCCTTAGAAGAAGCAAAAAGAAGAAAAGAAGTTCCAGAAAAGAAAGCTATTCATGAAGTTAAAACAAAAGGTACTACCTTATTTTAAAATGTGGCAGTTAATTTACCCACTCTTCAGAGACCTCTGCCTATTATAATTCCTAAAGAAATAGAAATAAAAATAATTTATGGTTCGTGTCTTAGAAGCAGAAGAAAGAAAAAAGGTAACTCACAAGAAGAAAATTATTCCTGAAATTAAAGGGAAAGGTAAGCTATGTGTGCTTGGATTACACTGCCAGATTTTTATGAAATTGAATTTGTATGAGGAATAAAGCTTCTTGCAGGATAGATTTCAATAACCAAGCAGATGGCCCTTTAATGAAGGTGATCACATGATAGAAAATTTCCATGTACAGTAGTAGCTGGACTCTTCCTATGCTTTGGATAAAGATTCTGCTGGCCACAGGGGCTGAAGGTCATCTTCTGTCTGCAGGAGCAATGGCATAGCAGAACTGGACTTACCAGGTCTGAAGGCCTGGCACTTCCCATTAGCATTTCCAATAGTGTCATCTGCAGTGTTGGCCTCCTCCAAGCTTCCTTGTTTCTTCTGAGCTCAGCTGTAATCCCCACAGTCTTTGGGTGGGGTGATGAGTGAATTTTCCCGGTGATAATATATTATTAAGAGTTATCTCTGTTGCAGTTCAAAGTACTATTCAGATAGTGTGGCTATGAGGGGGAATTAAGAACCATTGCTTTACAAAATATCTGCTACTGGCGGAGAATGAAAATTGGTGTGCTGTGCTGGATTAAAATAACAACAGCAGCAGCACGTTGATCCCATCTTATGGCAAACCGTTTCCAAGGTTTCCTATGTGAAAAGTACTCACAAGTGGTTTACTACTCCTTTCTTCTGTGAGCACCCTGGGAAAGTGCAGCTTGCTCATGGCTACACAGACAGACTCGTTGCCCAGGAGTCACCGGTGGAACTGAACTCCTAGTCTTTGTCTTTACATCCAGGTACACAATTCACTGTGGCACTCAGCCAGAAAATAGACTTACCTAGCTATTTCTACTTTTGGACTCTCCTTGGTGGAGCAGCCATTGGGCATGCCATTAGGGGTGCCTTCCCTTCAGAATTTACCACCACGCCACCATGAGAAGGCTTCTGACCCAGTAATCCCACTTGCAAAGTCCTAGAGACCTTCAGCTCTCCTTGCAATCCTCCATGCACCCCTAAATCTCTTCCATAGCTTGAGGGGACCCTTTGGAACAGTGGACATTGTGTGCTGTGGCCTCGAAAGAGGGGGAATCTGCAAAGACTGCACCAAGGTTTTCTGCAGGCTTTCAGTGCAAAAGATTCACATCTACTCTCTATGTTTTGCATATTTTACATTTTTTTTATAAGTTGCTTTGAGCGTACAAAGAAAAAAGTGCATAGGACTCAGATGTTTGCCTCCTCACATCTATTCTTTATGTTTTGCATATTTTACATTTTTTTATGTTGCTTTGAGCATACAAAGAAAACAGGGTATCAGGCATTTTAACCAATTAACTAGCTCATCATAAATAAACACATTCAACCAATCATACTTTCACATAAAAGTGCATAGGACTCAGATGTTTGCCTCTATTTGGGGGGAAACATATGAATGGGTCCACTATCCAGTTTCTTGCCTACTACATAAGCAATTTGTTCAGTGACAGTAAAATCAGTTTTTGCATGCATCACAAAGTGAGTTTAGCAAATCTGCACAAGGAACAGCTAGCTCATATGCTCACTGTTCTTCATTTCTTCTCTGACTTGGCCATAAGAAAGAAATTGGAAGTTATCTTCTCTGGTTTTAAACTAATCATTGGTTAAAATCCCACTGCTTAGTATAGTATATTGCACTTGAATCAATGGGGGATTGGTGGATCAACTCCTTTGCAAGTTCCATTGATTCAAATGGGCCTACTTTACTGATGACTTACAATGCTAAAAGTTGCAGTTAGAATAGGCCCATTAAAATCGATGATTTACAATGCTAGAGTAAGTTGCAGTTAGAATAGGCCCATTAAAATCAATGGATCTTACTGAGGAGTTCTCACCAAATCCCCATTGTTTCAATGGATTTACTCTAGTAAAATTAACCACACTAAGTAACAGAATTATGACTACCATTTGTCATTACGTCCAACCTGTGGTCAACTGATACTACGAACTGTTAATACAGCAGGATTATTAGCTACAGCTTAATCCTGTTTTTTTTTTTCAACAAAGTGCAATTTAAACTGGAGTTTATCCCCCTCCATGTAACAAAAATATTAGGTTAATTTTTAATTAGGAAATGGGAGCTTCCAATGTCTTCCTTGCTGCTAAGGAAGAGGAAGGGAGAGGAGAGATGGAGTCCTGAGAATATGCTTGAGTTTCATGCTATGCTAAGCCGGGCTTTTTTAAATTATTGAACTGAACTTGTACGAGGACTCTGTGAACAGCTTCATAGGATAGATGCAAATGATCACTTTAAACCAAATAAGATGGAAACTATGCATTGTTTATCTTGTTCAATTATCATCACATTTCAATAGCTATATAAAGGATGGCTTGCAGTAATAAAATTGGGGGTCATGTGATCAATGCAATTTAAACTTTATTCTCTGGGTGATCAATCCACATTAAGGGTAGGAGTAATGGTTTGTTTCTATTTTTCTTGCATCCAAATGTTTCAGATTTCAAGTTCTTTCCATCATGAATATTTTAAAAATGTGCAAATGTGGTCAGTTGTTCAAAATGAAATTCTTTCCCATTTGTATTCACCAAATTCAACAGGTACAGTGATTTTCAGCATGTTGTATCTGCCTGCCCTTTGAATGTTAAAAAGGAGCCTCTTTTTTTAAAAAGTAACATTTTCCATTCACTTGGTGAATTTCGAATGCAGACTTTGAAGGAAAATGCATCAAGTCCTTGAACCTGACTGGATAAATATGTCAGTTCCATTTTCTCTCACATTACATTTTGAAAAATATTTTCATAGTGAGTGTGAAGAAAATTTCAAACAATAGTAATTTCTTACTAAAAATGAAAGGAACTGTAATTTCCACTCATCCCTAATCCACAAAGGAACAGATTTAAAGTAGCAACTGAGGGATCTTTTGTTATTTAACTCTGCCTTAAAATTCAGATTTTACCTAGGTTTAAAAATCCAGTCCAAGCGGTGGAGGATCTGTTGAACACACCATTACTGCCATAACATGTGGCAAATATCTGTGTGAAACAAAGACTGAATACTATACCTTTTGCCTGTGTTTGTTTAGCATTGCATAGATTCTCTCTCTTTCTCAACCAGCTTCCATACGAAACCACTTTTAAATTTTTTTTCATAGCTTTGGAACAGGAAAAGAAGGTAACCCAAGAGAAGAAAGCTATTTCTGAAACAAAAATTAAAGGTAGGCTGTTCTTGAAGGTGCTTTTGCTTTATTTTATCCTACTATCCAGTCTGAGTAGAGTTTTCCATCCAGTCATAAGGCAGGGTATATCATACAATGGTGCCTCTCTAGACTATGATAATCCGTTCCAATGAAATCGCTGTTTAGCGAAATCATTGTCAAGCGAAAAGCATTTCCCCATTGGAATGCATTGAAACCTGTTTAATGCGTTCCAATGGGGAAGAATAGTCATTGTCTAGCAAAGATCGGCCATAGGAAAGCTGCTTTGTGAACCGCCGATCAGCTGTTTAAATCGCTGTCTTGCGAAGCTTAGGTCCCGAAAACACCCGGTTTGTGAGCACGGAGGGAGCTGTCAAAATTGTTGTCTAGTGAAAATCGGTTTGCGAAGCAGGGACCAAACATTGTCCAGCAAAATTCCCCCATAGGAATCACTGTTTTGCGAATCGCTATAGCAATCACAAAAAGCCAATGTCTGGCGAAAAAACTGTCATGTGGGGTAACTGTCTAGCGAGGCACCACTGTATATGTGATGCATATATACTAATTTACATTGACTGATTATGTTCTTGCCCTTTTGAGAGAGAAATTTCTCATTAAGAAAACCGTTGCCCAGTGGGTGTAGCTGGACTGAGACATATTGTTGTCTGAGGCAAAGGATAAGATTGCCTTCCTTCTCCGCTCCACATTCAGAGGTTGGACAGCCTGGCAGTTCAACTCTAAGAATGGAACAAAGTTCTCTAATACAAGCTAAGAACAGCAATGGTATTTAAGAGCTGGAGGACAGAACCATGGGGCACACATAGCTCTTTCACTCCAGAGAGGAAGAAGAGACAGGGCTCAGGAGGCAAAACTACTGCTACTTCCAGCATCCGCTGCCAACTCCACTCTGCCTAATGGTAAGATCAGCCTTGCCAATAAGCAGTTCATGTGAACAATATAGTACTCTGAACAGTGGGGGTGTTGTTCCTCTGCCGTGCATTCATATACAAAACAAGCATGCAGACTTACTTTGGGGGAGGATACCTCAAAGGTTACACTAAACTGACACAGTTTAAATCTACGTAGTGATGGAGTATCGGATTAGGATACAGGAGAACTGAGTTTAAATCCTTGCTCAGCCATGGAAACTGAATGGGAGCTGGCAATGGTAAACCACTTCTTGAACATCTCACAAGCCTCAGAAATCCCATTAAAATGTGTAAATTGGAAACAACTTGACAGCTATAGTATAATCTCTAAGGGATGACAAAGCATCCCAGTCCAAAATTAGGAGTGCTTTAATTTTCCATCACTATGTTCCTTTTTTATAAACTCCCCCCCCCCAAATTTGAACGGGAGCTGGCAATGGTAAACCACTTCTTGAACATCTCACAAGCCTCAGAAATCCCATTAAAATGTGTAAATTGGAAACAACTTGACAGCTATAGTATAATCTCTAAGGGATGACAAAGCATCCCAGTCCAAAATTAGGAGTGCTTTAATTTTCCATCACTATGTTCCTTTTTTATAAACTCCCCCCCCCCAAATTTTGTCCAGCATGTTGTTCTGGACATCTTTACTTTCAGCATTTAGACATATGGAACTTTGAACCTGGCCATTGGTGTGGTCTGGGGAAGTTCTCATGCACAACATCCCCATATGCTTATTGGGGCATTTTAAGGGTGAAATTTGGGGGGGGGGGAGGAATTGCAAACCAACTACTTTAAACCAACGTTTTCCCAATCATGGGAATTTGATTGTTTGATTGGCTGAGAGATTCTGGGAATTACAGTCCAAAATGTAAATCTCCACAGGCCTTGTCCTTCTTCCTCTTCTGCTTTCTCTTAGTCAGACTCAACTAGCGGTGCAAATTCTAGTTGATTGGACAAGAACCTGAGAATAAGCTGCAGGAAGGTGGATCAGGGTTGACAAGAACACTCTTTGTGTGTTCCTTTGCTGTAGAAAAAAAAAAAGAAACCCTTGACTTAAACCATACTTTACAATTTATTTGGCAGGCCCACATTTAAATAAAGGGTTTTACTATTACATTTGATCTAGAGGGATTTGGATTGGGAACCTTATTCTGTGACTAGGCAAATGAATAAAATAAGTTGGTTCTAATCATATTTGGAGTAGACCCATTGAAATCAACAGGATTTAAGTTAGCCGTAAAATCTGGATTCCAACTTGTATAGTTGGGGGGAGGGAAATTATATTACAAAGTAACTCATATATTCTCTTCTCTGTGCTTGACTGAATGCAAATTGAAGTGTGTGATTCATATTTCTAGCCCCCCCCAAAAAAACCCTGCTTCCTTTTAATTAATGTTTAGGGGGAAAAGAAGAAAGAAAGAAAGCTCTTGAGAAAACAGCTGTCCCTGAAGTTAAAAAGGCAGGTAAGAAATATCAATATGTCATTATCTTCCATGAAATCCTATTGTTGTACATGTGCATTTTTAGATTTTAAAAGTTTAGACTAGGTGGGCATGTAAATTATGAGCTCCTTAAATTGTTGGGGTTTTTTAACTTCATGAATTTAACATTTTTTTTTTACCAAAGGGAACTTTCCTTTTCCCCAATTACATATTTATGGCAAAAGCTACATAAACTGACCATCTTATTGCTTATTATAGTGTCAGATATATTTAAAATGGTTACATGCTTTACATCTGTGGGATAGGACTCTTTAGACATGGGCAGAGCATTCTGTGGGCATTCTCTACATCATCTTGGAGAGCTCCAAGTTGCTAGCATGTGAAACTAAATGTCAACGGACAACAACCCTGTGAGATGGGTCTAACCAATAGAGACTGGCACTGCTGCGCTCAAAGTGCTTTATAACCAATAGAAATAAAAAAGGAAAGGAACTCAGGTCTGATTCATTAGTTTACCACATGTGGAACAAGATGTCTTGAAAGAAAAGGCCCTGAGGGGAGACGGCAGACAGGGAGAGTCTTTCTTTTTAATAATTTATCTTTCCATGATTTTTAAGAATAGCACTCCACTGTTCTATCTTAACAACGTAGCTAATGCAGTGTGCAAGCTTTATGTCTCTCTTATTTTCTCATCTTGCTACACTTTTCTAAAGACTTTAAATATTGAGGTTATTCTGGAGTTTTGCCTCAGTAATTCAGAGATTGGGCCTAAAAACACAAAACCCACAAATGTTTGGTTCTGTGATACTTCAGTCATAGTCCTTGGCAAAGATGGCAGTGAAACTTATGATACATTGTTAAGTGAGAAGAGCTGCTGCCAGGTCAGTTCAAGCATCATTTCTTCAGTTAACCATGTGAACTTAATTAGCTTACCTCTGGGTACACATGTACCCCATATATACAAGAGCTTCACTATCTAGTGCAGAATTCGGGTCTACTTCAGATGTGTATCTTCATGGCATGGTCAGAGTTAACTACTAGGGTCACAGTGAGTGGGAACACCACTGTGCATGTAGGAGTTTCACTCTTGTAGAGGTTTGGGCAGTGTCTATATTAAATTCATTTTCCTCACCACTTATAACATGTTGATATAAGGCAGTTCGCATTGCACAAAAAGATGTCATTGAAAATGCATCGGAAATTCCAGAAGGCAAAATACTGAACTGAGAAATGAGATTTATAGCATTATTTAAATATCATGTGTAAATATTATAGTCTAATTCATAATATTGTGGCTACTAGGCATATGTAAAATTGGTTCATCTATGTGGAATGAAGTCTTTTCTTTTCTTTTGGACTGAGGTGGAAATAAAGAGCTTCCATTGTGACAAAATAATTCAGCCTCTCTCCTGCTAAGCTGTGGGCGTGATTTACAAACAAATAAAGCCAGCATGTTGGCGCTTAAGCAATAATAAGCTCCATTCTATACATGATTTACCTGGATTTAGCTTTCATGGAAGGGAGAGGGAAGAGAAGTTTGTTTACATGCAAAGAAGCTTAGAGTTGTGGTCTGTCAGCTCTCTCCTCTCTCCTCCAATTTATTTGGATTTTTAACTCACCTAATGCCTCAGTCCCAAAATATAACATTTTGAAAACCATGTAATTGGATGTTAACTGCAACATTTAAAATACATTAGAAATGAAAATGTCACTGAAATAATTGCTTCCTCACTTCCAGCCTTTTAAACAGCTGGATAAAAAAAAAATGCATAAGCAACAGCACAAATCTAGAAACAGAAGCTCTCTTCCAACTGTACAGAATACTTCAGGAAGATGGTGTGCCAGAGAAATGAGACAGCCAATTTTAATTCTCAGATTAGTAAATAATGTTTTCTAATTATTTCTGAGGAGTGTTCTAAAAATTCCTTCCTCTTGTCAGGATGTATTTGATTTATATAGACCATAGGAATATATTCATCCATTCATTTGTATTTTTATATGCCTCTTCAGTAAAAACAACAGAAGTGATCTCATCTAGTAAAACTTGGAAACCTGAGGAGATGGAGGAGGCCTCGTGAGGCAGCTGTTTCGGGGTGGCATGAAAAGTCAACAAAAAATTGTTGATTTTACTTTATATTGTTATAAGTGGAGGCAGTACTTGTGAGATTTCGTTCCTCAGGTATATAAATCTTGACTTTAGGGGTGGGGTGTCCTCCTTGACCAGCAAAAAATAAAAATAAAAGGCCCTGCTAAGGATCCTTAATCTTGACATTTTTGCTACAATTCCATCTACAGTAGTCTTCCCTCAGCTTGTAGAACTTACTGCATGATGTCATGAAGTGGCAATTTATCCTGCTCTGTTAAAAAAAACACCCTCAAGTCTGCTTTATAGATAAAGACTAGTAAGGAGGGAGAGCAGGGGCCTTGAAATAGCCCATCAACAGTTAATACCTGGGCTGTAGATTCAGAGGACATCCAGTTCATCTGGTCACAGTATTTCCTACTGTGGTGAGATGTACTTAGGTTTGGCAAGTCAGCAGCATCCCATTTCTTGAGATTTCAGGGCCACAATCTAGACCAAGAGGCAGACCGTTGCGATGTTACAGTGATGAGCCCTAATGATGTTAGAGAAGTTAGGCAGACAAAGGCTGAGAATGGTAAGGCTTTCCATTATCGTGAACAAGAAGATTTGTGATTGTAATGCTGGTCTTGGTGTAAATGGAACAGCATGCCACTGGCACATCAGAAAAGCCACGAGTGAGTGAGGGGGCAGAACTGGTGGATGGATTCACTGAAGCCCATCATGCAACATGTGTACAAACATCATCACACTGAGCCATTGATCCCTGGCACAAGCTAGGAATGCTCAGATTTCGAAATGATAAAACAGACCACCTAAGGTTGGCAAATCTCAGTGCGCCAACATCAGGGAATAGCTGAGCTACCTGGAATGTAGCTTGGAATGGAAGAAACTGGGTACCATGCTTTAAGCTTAATACATGCCAATATTATGCAAATTTATATTCCCATTTCCCATCTTCTTCTAGAGCAGTGGTGTCGAACTATGGCCCTCACCATTTCCCATCTTCTTCTAGAGAGTTAGTACCTCTTTTTGGGCTATATATAAGTGGGCCATGAAAAGCGTTTTTGTGGTGCTGACTTCTGGAACTTTGCTGGAGAAGACTTCTGACATCACCCTGCGTCAGGGTGGTCCCTTGAGTCCAGTGTCCACAAGTGAATAACTACCATACTGTGTACTACTCAGCACCAGGCACAAGTAACATAAGATTAGAGATGGAACACACTGAAGTTCTCCTTGAAATCTGAAAGCTCTTTACAATGCTGCCCTTCATCAGGAAAATGAAGGCACGTGTCTTGAGCCAATCTCAGTTGTGGAAGGTGACCTTGCACAAATGAAAGTGCTGACTTTGATACTGCCTCACTAAATGGGATTATTTTGGCATTAGGAAGTAATAGTGAAAGCCACTTGTTGATGTCTTGCTTCCAGAGGTAGCACACACATGCACATTGTCTGTGATTCATCATCCCTTTAAGATGTCTTTCTAAAAGCACATTTGTGGGAATGAATGCTAATGTTTTCTTTGGGACTTTTCAGCAATATTATATTGGGAATACTGTATGTCTGTAGCAGCAAAAAAAGCAAGCAGCATGATGGCATAATAATAAGGATTCTTAGCACAAGCAATACTGTTAATTCTTTTTTCTGTGATCTGTACACATGACTGTCACAGTACCTAATATGGAAAATGGCTATATTGAATTCAAATGCTACCCATCTAGCTGTTTAAGAAATATGCTCTAGCTGATGCACATTTTTTGTGCTTGCAAGGCAGAAGCCTTAAATATTAGCCCTATTTCTAGAACTAAAACATTCTTACTCTGGTGTAGGATATGTTAAACTGGACAGTACTGTTTGAGTGTAGATGTGCTACTAAAATTACTATGAAGGCACTCTGAATTAAAAAGCCAAATTATGAAAGCACTGACTTATAAATGACAGCCAATTATAAGCAAAGGTGCATAAAATAGTTTCTTTCTCTGATCTCCTTGCCACAGGATGTGGTGATGGCATCTGGTCTAGATGCCTTTAAAAGGGGATTGGACAGATTCCTGGAGGAAAAGTCCATCGCAGGTTACAAGCCATGATGGGAGGGGAGGGGTATTCCAGGCTTTAAAGGAAGGTCCCTCCAAATGCCAGATGCAGGGGAGGGGTATCAGGAGACAGGTATCTAGTTGTCTCGTGTGCTCCCAGAGGCATCTGGTGGGCCACTGTGAGATACAGAAAGCTGGAGTAGATGGGCCCTTAGCTGGATCCAGCACAGCTCTTCTTATGTTCTTATAGTATTTTACTTCACCTAGGTACCCTTTCAAACTTCAGTTGCATTCCAGAAATTGATCACCAGGGTCAATATTTTACTATTTGTTTTACAACTTCATTCATTCATTCATTCATTCATTCATTCATTCATTCATTCATTCATTCATTCATTTTCTTCCTTAATTATTTACATATAATCTGAAAGTGGTGGAGTACATAAACAAGAACACTAGAAGTGGAGATTTTGTAGTAGAGTCTGCATATGATGTAAGAACGCAGAAATTGTACTTTTATATAGAGAAAGCAGCACTATGACACAACACTATGCTATCAAAACTAATGAAGCAGAGAACATCATCTCACCTCAAAAACATAAAATAACAACACAGAAGTAAGTCCTGGATTATCTTTGGTTAGCTGTGGATGGTAGATTTAGGGGAGCAGAGTTGAAGGAAACAAGGAATCAAAGGTATGGTGAACAGGGCCATAATTACCTTTAAAAGTAAAGAGAAATGTTTTAATGATGGAAGGAGGCTGAATGCCTGTGGGAATCACCTGAAGAGCAACATGTAGACAGCATGACGTGAGACATTAATAGTCTTAGTACATTTTTGGGACATCTAAAAACACCTCAGTCCTGGTTTCTTTGTGTTTTTTCCAGTCTTACCTGCATTTTTCCTCT